ATTTCATGGCAGATGTAGTGTTGGTTTTTCCCTACTTCTCCAACCAGAGTTATTGGAAATTGAGATGAAAAAATGTCAAAAGGTTGCATTTGTATAATGGAAATAGATAATCAGTCTACAGGCAATCATCAATGCTTTTGATCCTTCTGGGATCAGAAGAACCGCTCCCATATTCAGAAATTGACTGGAGAAATATGATGGCAGCAACTTAAATGACTCTTGGGTAAAATAGAAACTTTTTATCCCAGATTCAAACAAAGCACGAGCCCAGTCTTCTGCTGGTGGTTCTATCAAAGGTCTTGAATTTTCTCTTTTTCTTAACTGTAATCTCTTCTTCCTTTTCCTTCCCTGCTCTTTTCAGAGGCTGGACAAAGTGGGTTCAAAGGATGTCATCCCTGCCAAGCTAGGATAGCACTGATGAGTGAATATGAAGGACACACAGACAATGGACAGACACCTGAGTTAAGTCAGGTATTAATGTCATGTAGAAGCACAGAAGTATATTTACATTAGGGGCAAGAGGCAACACAACATGGTGGAAGTTTTGGATCTGGGGGCAGCAAGCAAGGGCCCAAATTCTGCTGTGCCAACACGAGCAGGTCATGGAACTTCTCTAACCTTTAATGTCTTCACCTGTAAAATGGGGCTAGCAATAGCATCTACCTCGCAAGGTTGTTGGGACAAGCAAATGCGGTAAAACATGCAAAGTCCTTTGGAAACTTTAAAGGGGAATATAAATTTGAGCTCTTGTTATTTTGAGGAGGAGATTCAGTGATGCTGCATGCTTAGGCCAAGGAAGAGCACAATTATTTACTCTTTTCTCTTCCCTTTTTTTTGAAAATTGGAACAACATTTATCCTTTTCCGATCTCATGGCACCTCTCCCATTTTCCACAATCTTTCAGGTATCACCGACAGTGGCTCAGCCATCGCATCTCCTGGTTCTGCAGGACCCAAGGATGTAGTTCACTTGGGCCAAGTGACTGGAATCCATCGGGGGCAGTTCATGTATCTCTTCCTATTTCCTGGGCATCAATTGGGCACCAACTGCCTGTTAGACATTTTCATTCTGTCACTTCTGATATAAAAGTCATACTTGTTGGCACCATACCCTTGATCTCATCTTCTCTGGTCACCTCCTTTCTATCTAATCTCTTCCTATTACCCCTTCCCTGGGGCCTGCAAACACAAACATGTTCAGGTCTCTTTAATCCTTAAAAAAAAACCCTCACTTGACCCTGACATCCCCTCAAGCTATCATCCTAGAACGCTTTTCCTTTAACACTGCTAAACTCCTCGAAAAAGCTGCCGGTCTAAGCTCTGTGCCCCCAGGCCTTTTCTTCTGAGTCTTTTCTCCACCCTTTACAATGTGGTTTCTGATCTCATCACTCCATGGCGACTGCTTCCGCCAAAGTTACTAATGAGCTCTCATTTGCTAAACCTGACAGCCTTTCCACAGTCCTCATCCGTCTTGTCCTATCTGCAGCTTTTGCAACTGCTGACCACCCCTTCTTTGATAATCTCCCCTCTGGGTTTTCATGATCAAATGAGAGCATATTTGTAAAAAAAAAGTACATAGCACAGTGCCTGGCACATAGTAGGTGCTATAAAAATGCTTTCCCCTTTCCCTTCATGACATTGCTCTCTCTTGGTTCTCTTCCTTCCATTCTGACCACACCTCGTCAGACTTCTTTGCTGGATCTTCATTCGTATCCTGCCCTCTAAGTATGAGCATACTCCAAGATTTTGTCCTGGGCCCTCTTTTCTCTTGATACTTGCTCAGTGACCTACTGAGCGAGTATCAAGAGAAAAGAGTGCCATGAGTTTGATTGTCTAGTCTCTATGTAGATGACTTTCTCCTAAGTGCCTGTTGTATCATTTGAAGTAGATGTCTCATATGCATCTCAAATACATGTCCCCAACAGAATTAATTCTCTTCCCTTCTTACTTCCCTGTTTTTGTTGAAGGCATCATCTTTCCAGTCTCAACTCCTGACTCCTTCACTTCACATATTTAGCAGTTTCCAAGTCTTGGAGATTCTGCCTCCACAACAATCCTGCTCTCTTTACTCAAATTGTTACCAACATAGTTCAGGACCTTATCACTCCTTGCCTGAACTATTATGATAGCCTCCTAATTTGTCTTCCTGTCTCAAGGCTCTACCCTCTCTAGCCTATTTTCCATACAGCTGCCAAGTGATATTCCTAAAGCATAGGTCTGATCATGTCATTCCCCTGCTCAATAAACTCTGATGGCTCCCTATTACCTCTGTGATCAAACACAAATTCTTCTGTTGGACATTTAGAGCTCTTCACAACCTGGCTCCAACCTACCTTTCCGACCTTATTTCGTGCACTCTTTGGTTCAGTCAGACTGGGCTTCTTGCTAATTCCTCACATGTGATATTCCATTTTCTATCTCCATGCCTCTGCAAAGGCTGTGTGCACATGCCTAGAATGAACATCTTCCTCCCCTCTGTCTTTTAGAATACTTAGTTTCCTCCAAAGCTTAGTTCAAGTACCAATTCTACATAAAGCTTTTTTTTCCCTAATCCATCAATTAATCAATAGCTACCATTCCCTCCCCCAAATGCCTTGTGGTTTAAAAAAATATATCCTTATATATGTACAAGCTGTCTTCCTCTATAGAAGGTATGTTCCTTGAGGGCAGGCATTACTTCATTTTTGTCTGTGTATGCAATAGTGCCTGGCACATATAGTATGTAATTTCAAATAACAGATTGTGTTTGTGTCTTTTCCTCCCAGTAGGTATGAAGGTAGGAACTGGATAGTTACGCTTTGTATATCCCTCAAGACTTCTACAGGCAGTAGGTACTTAATGAATGTTGAATTAATTAATGACAACCATGGGAGTTTTTTGTGACTGTAAAAGTGATGGGATTTGGCAATAGTTTAGAATACAGGATGGGGGTGGGCTAGAGGTACTTTGAACTCTCTTACATGGTATACCAGAAATTCTATTGTGATGGGGAAGCCAACCTGGGGAAGGATGATGGGTCATCAATGTGGTTGGGTCCGGTTGGCTTCTAGGGATATCCAAGTACAGATATCTTATAAAGACTCAGTATAGGAAAAGCCAGAGGGACAAATTTTCTCCTTCCTTAAATTGGCAGAAAGATGGTGGGAGCTGCCATCTTTTCACTTTCTTCCCTTGACCTAGATTTATTTCATCTTAGGCAAGCCAATGATGCATCTGTCCTGAAAGGTTTCATTGGGGTTTTTGCTATGTCCGAGAGCATCACAATTCTTTTTTGAAGAGGCATCAGGGGTTGCTGGACAAGCACTTGTCTTTTCTTCTGAGTTCAGAGGGATTGAAGGGATTCACTGTCTTCCAATGTAAAAGCCACTTGAGGAATTAATCAGGAGTATTTCATTGGAGCCAAGAGGGCTCTGTGAATGGGAAAAATGTGGGCAGAAAATCTACCTTGAATGATACCTGGGCATTTATGACCTTTATCACCATTCATGGATGTGTATATGTACATGTATATATGTATATGTATGGCCAAGCATATATGCATGTGTATATAGGTTTATATGTGTGTATGTGTACATGTATGTTGGTGTGTATGTCTGTATATGTAGCACAGCTATACAACAGAGGTTTGTCATGTGTGTGCTTGTGTCTTATTCCTCACTTAGGGTAATAAGATCCCTGCCCCTAACTTCCTCCAAAGCTCCCTTTCAGTACCATTGTTTACTTGAGGTCTTTCTTGATATCTCCCCAGCCCCACCTTTTTTGTATTTACTTGTATGCATACATGTTGTTTCCCCACTAAAATGTAAGCTCCTTGAGGGCAGAGACTGTTTATTTCTGTATTCCCAGCCCCTAGTAGGGGCAGCTAGGTGGTATGGTGGATAGAGTACAGGGCTTGGAATTGGGAAGACTCATCTTCATGAATTCATATCTGACCTCAGACGCTTACTAACTGTGTGACCCTGGGCAAGTCACTTCACCCTGTTTGCCTCAGTTTCTTCATCTGCAAAATGATTTGGAGAAGGAAATGGCAAACCATTCTAGTATCTCTGCCAAGAAAACCCCCAAATGGGGACATGAAGAGTCTGACGTGACTGAAACAACTCAATAAGAACAAAAGCTCCTAGTAGAACTCCTGGCCCAGAGGAGGGGCTTTAGAAACATGCTTGAATGAATGAATGGATGGATGGTGGGGTGGGCATCTTTGCACTTATTTTATTCCCCAGTGCTCAAGAAACAGGGACTAGCTGGTTGATTTTAATTCAGCTTTTTGTAAATCCTCTTATCTTTGCTTCCTCATTTTCATTTATGAAAGAAAATGATTCCTGTCCGCCAGGCATCTTGGTAGCTGTTTAGTATTTGTAAATGCCTTGTAGATGGAAAATGCCAGTTATTTTCATGGCACAATAACCTTGAGGTTATGGAGCAGAGGGGGAAGTAGAGGGGTCATTTAGATCAGTATACCTTAATTACTGAAATCAGAAGTAGACGTGGAGGCAGACTTTCCCTCTTCATGTCATTCTTGACCAAAGTACTAGGTAACTAGAAACTTAGCTTGGGTCTCCCTTTCAGAAGGTAAAGAAGAATGCTAGTCCCCTGCAATTTGGGGAAGATACTCTCTTTCCTTGCCCCCCTTTGGAACTTATAAAAACTCCTGTGTTCAGGCTAAATGATGCTTAGGAATCCCGGTTCCCCAGACAGTAGCCTTGGAACAGTCCCTAACTAGGAGCTCAGCTAAACAGAGGTCAGCCCTAGAAGTTATGAAAAGACAAATCTGGCCAAGAGGAGACATATTCCCGCTTACAGGGCTAGGATGACACTTGGCCTCTCTATGCTGGTCTGGCTTTCTCCTTTGCTGAGTCTGAGCAGTGGTAATCTGGTAGTGGAAAGTGGAGACTCTCATTGCCGGACCTAGGCTTTATTAGATGCTCAAGTAAGTCGACTGTCTGTCTTTCAGATAATTAAATACGAAGAAGAAGGAACGTTTTTTTTTTATGAGTCAGCTATGGTAGTATTTTATTATCAGCCTTTCATTTCCACATTCTCTATACAGCATCATAAAAGGCAATATTTGGGAATCCTGCCTGCCATCCCTCCTCTCCCCAGCTGGTTGCAGGCTCCAACATATCCGCAGACGTTCTGCTGAACTTGCCCATGTTAAGACAAATCTGCACCATTTTGGAGTGAGAAGGTGGTCAGGGAGGACTTTCTGCCCCGATGCATGGAGAGTGTTTGGCAAGAATCAGGTCATTGATGACACATGCATTTATATTATAGTAATAAGGTAACTACATAATGGCCATTGAGGGCAAGTAGCCAAGTGCCTCACAGGCATACATTCACTGGGTTACACATGGATATCATGGATTGGCTTACTTGGGTGGTGCCTAAGTTTGGCACTAGACCCTCCCCAACATGCGCGCCACCCACCAGTTACAAGGCATGATAACCCGACAGATGACCCTCCCTCCTTGGTAGCAGTACGGGTAGGGGTAGAAGCCCAGTAAAGGCTCACACACCCGGCGGCAATAGCGGTTACCCCGACGACAGTAAATACAACAATAACCTCTTTCATCCAGCATGGGGTCAAATTCGACTCCATTTTCGGTCTGTAAGAAAAATAGATAAGTTGACTTGAAGAGATTAGGTCTACTACACAAAAGTCCCACCCAAAATGAGAGAGCTACAGGTTACTTGGAAGGAAGACCAGAGGGCAATTGGTAATTAAGTTCCCTGGTCAACGTCGCCCTTCAAAACCTCTTAAGTAAGCCAATGGTGATCTATAAACTTATTATAAAATTAGTTTCCCTCCCCCTATGGCACCATCCAAGTTTATAAAACAACCTATTTTGTTGTAATGATCCCCTTCTCTTTCCTTCTAATAGCAGATTAAATGGGGGAGGTCTATACATAGGTTACCCCAAACTGTCAAGTGGTTAAGAACCACATATCAGAACTGTGGTGGGAAAGCTTTGGGATGAACTAAAGCACACGGGCTGTTGGAACCATTTTAGAAACTCCTGATCTAAGGTCCAAGCACATCATGAAAGAGCTGGTCGTTACCTAACCCCCAAATTTACATAGTCGTTCACTGGGAGATCCTCTTCAGCTAGCTGTCGGCTCTGGCGTTTCTTCCCAGGCTTTACTTCTGGGTCCATCCACTGCTCATTGAGGTCAATCCCACTTTTTCGGTTTGTGAGAAAGTGGACATTTTCATTTCCTCCCTCAAAGTCCTGAAATTCAGAAGCTAAGACGACAAATGTTAGTATTGCGCCAAAGTCACATTCCCAACATCTCTATGCAGGCTCAGTGGGCCTCAGCAGTGGAAGGGTTTCTGCTTGGAGAGTTTCTCCCTAGCAGCTTTGGTAGGGGTAAATTACTCACATCCTTTAGCTGATGTACTAAAAAGGGATATTTTCAAAGCTAATAGTCTACCAGCTACCCGAGCACAGATGTTGTTTGCTTTACAATCACTAGAAAATATTCTTCCCCAAATTATTTTTGTCCTAGGAAAAAACATTCCTAGTTACAGTTGTATTCTGGGGTGTCTAGAAATGAGGCCACCAAGGTCTCTGTTCACCTGGGCTGACCATAGTTGATAGGAGGTGCCCAGGGCCCTTAGCTTTGCCAAGCTAACTCGTTGGCCTTCTACTGGAGAAGCAGACACACAGCAGGTGTCCCGTCTTCCAGGGAGAGTGCCATGGGCTCGTGCCTCACTGTGGAGGCCCATTTTTGGACTGATCTTTGCTCTAGCATTGGACCTGCAGAGGTTTGAGCAATGAGCTGGTACGTTGGGTGGAATGAATACAGATGTGTAATGAAAGACAGATTGCCTCTTTGCTATCACTAGCCACATTAGGGTGGTGTTACCCTTGCTGGTATGTTTAAGAGCCTGTCAGCATAAATTTGTCTGATTTATAACTTGGCTGTGAAAATCCCCTCTTTGCTGGCAGTTAGCGTGTACTGTCTCATCTAGGAAGATAGAATTCACTTTGCAAGAAAGACTGCCTCCAGATCCTGAGGTCGTTACCTGAGTTGTCTTTGGAGGGAGGACAGCTTCATACCTGTTAGTAGCGTGGGATGGATCCAATGTATGCTCACATTCTGGCAGACTTCAAAGATTTTGGAGCCTTTCAGGAAGTCTTTGTTTTCAATAGGCTTTTCTCCCGGAATCCAGACCATAGATTGCTCAAAGTAGGTTGTTGTGATCTCATCGTTCTGGAAGAGGAATGTAGTTGGGGTGAGTGGGAGGGGGGAGGGAAACCAGAACCCAATAACCTTTGATGTGTAAGCAAAATCTGGGCTGAGCTAACAACAACAGTGACAACAACAATAATAGTAATAATAATAATAACAATAATGCATCTAGAAGTATTTTAAAGTTTGCAAAGCACTTCGTGTGTTATCTCATTTGAGCCTCATCAGTGCCATTATTATATTTTTATTATATAGAATACATTATATTATTTTATTATTATTATTATTATTATTATTATTATAATAATATTTTTACATGTGAGAGAATTCAGACTGGGTGAGATTAAACGACTTGCCTGGGGTCACATAGTGTCTAATTTGAACTCATGCCTTCCTGCCTCCAACACTAACCCTCTCTATGCAGTGGGTCACCTAGGTGCTTAGGGAGGTGCAAGGATGTTAAAGCTCTGGCCAAAGAAGCAAGGTTGTAGGGGCACAGATTTAGAACTGGGAAGGAACCTTTCTCGTTCAACTCCTTCATTTTACAGAGAAGGAAACTGAGACAGGTTAAGAGAGAGATTTTTATACCATGTCAAAGCCAGTAACAAGCTTTTGATGCCTCCATTTCTTACCCTGGGACCTAGAGGCAACTGTACATCTTAGAATACTGTCCTTTGCCACCTTTTAAAAGCCTCATGGCCAATCTGACCCCTGTCCTTAGGTCATTGTTGACCATGCTCACTCTGCACCCAGTGTGGCTCCTAGGTGAGTGAAGGCTAGGGCTCTCCTTCCCCATGTTGGAGGTCACTGTCCCCGCCTGATGGGTGGAGCTTCTCTGTTCTCACTCAGTCCCAGATCATGGAGGCAGTGATTATTTGTAAGGATGGTCTTGAAATAATCATCTTCCATCCAGGGCCATAGCTACACTGGGGCGGCCTTTGGAGATGTCTGATCAGACATCCAGGCTTCCTTATTGACTTGTCTTCTTGCCTTAAGACATTCCCTAATCCTCACCCTCCCCAGGATGAGATCTCTCAATTTCATTCTTTCTCTGTTCCAAGCTTTATGATTTCAGTGCTCTAATTTATTTATTTATTTATTTATTTATTTATTCATTCTCTGTAGAATGCCTTTACATATTTTTTCCAAGTAATTTATAATACTAAACCCTATGCTGTCCCGTGCTTAAAAGTCTGTAAGGACATTGGGATGCCATGCACAAGATGAAGTTGTCACTGAACAGAGTCATTAGCAAGACCGGGCCTGTTTCCACATTGATGCTTGGTACGTTTCACTTGAAGGTTCTGTGCAGGCAGTATCACAGTAAGAGGGTTGGTGTCCTTTTGACTCATTGATTTACCAGGAAAATAACTTGGAACCTGGTTGTGCCTTTATATCTGGGCACGGTATCATTTTCTTACAGATGAGAAAGCTTGGTAGATAGGGAGCTAGCTCAGAGTCAGGTGGACCTGGGTTCCAGTCCCCCCTCGGCCACCTACTGGCTGCGTAAGCTTGAGAAGTCACTTCCTCTCGGTGCCCACAGATAGCTACCTTTCTAAGACTAGAAGTTGCAGAGCTCATCGATCTGCATGGGTGAAAGGATTGTCCATGCAAGGAGTTCTCTGTACCTATGAAACCCCAGGTTTTGGTTCCTTATGAAGATTTGGCAAAATGAACTGAAGAATAAATCAGGGTGAGAGCCCCATGAGGGCCCATGCATTAGTGGAATGCACAAATAAATCCTGGAAATGCTTCTGGATTAATATTAAGCTCTCAAGGCTGGCTGTCTAGCTCTTCCAAAATGACCATGTCCTTTTTCTGCTAAAACTGGTGCCTAAGGTCGAGCATCTCTGCTGATTCATTTCTCTCCTTGTCCCCCTTTGGTTTATAGTTGTCCCTCCTCTAGTAATTACCACCCTGTTTCTTGATTGCACTGATTTGTGTCTTTAAAAATACTCCTAGAATGTTCTGACCACAGACCTTGAGGTCATAGTAGCATTTTTAAAATCTATCTGTAATTGTCCTTTTTAAAAAACCCTCTAATAACAGTCACCTTTAGCTCAGAGTGTGCTACCAGCATGACCAGTGGGGCCAGTGGGGCCCTTGGTAGGCCTGGCAGGAGGTGAGGAAAAATAGTCAGGAAAAAGACTGGGCTGCTGGGGAAGGAGAGAAATGAAAGGCAGAGTTGGGGTGGCAGTAGAGGAAGGGGGACCCTGTGCCCATTCCCTTTACAATCTGCTGGTTTTCGCATCACAGGCTGTTGATTTCTGCCTAGGTGTGCTGGCCTGGCTGCAAGCAAAGGAGCTGGAGGAAACAAACAGCACTTCGAGGGCTGAACTGCCCAACGTTCTTATTGCATCAGAGCTGACTTCCCCTTCCTTTTTCTTGACCTTTTCTTCTCCAATGAAGCCCAGGTAAGACTGCCTCTGACATTAGAAATGCCATGGAAAGGAAGGTACAGATGAGTGGAGAGCATAAAATAAAGGTCAGAGTGGCAATATGTGGCAAGGAGTTGGCACTAGCCAATGAATTGTTGCCCTTGACCTTGTGATCTTTTCTATGGCCTTGTTTTGGATAGGCCTGACTTGGTTTCCTTGTAGTCACTCCTCATTTTCTTCTGACACTTCATGGTGGTATCCTGGGTATCCATAGAGGGTATCCTGGGCTCTGTCAGCAGGGCCTACCAAGCTTGAAAGACTTTCACCATGGGTCTGGGGATGGATTGACTGTGTGGATTTGCTTTGGCAGCCCCACAAAGAGGGGGTCATCACTGGCTTGGCTGTAAGCAGGATGCAGTTTTTGGCCACATCAGACCAGCCAGAATCACAGGTTCCCAGATCTAGTGTTGAAAGGGACAGTAAAACAAGAGTGTGTTGGAGCCAGCTCGCACCAGCTCCCAAGGAAGAGCCGATTGTGAAATTTTCACTGTGAGCACTTACACCTTAGCAAATGCTACAAATAACTGCCTGATTTATTGTGTTGTTGATTGTCAAGACCTAAGAAAGTGATGGAGAAAGTATTACTAACATCTAGTCCAACCCCTGATTTTACAGATGAGGAAACAGGCTCAGAGAAGTTAAGTGACTCGCCCATGGTCACATAAAAGAGTTGAGATTCAAATTGAATCCTTCTGACTCCCAAACCAGTGCTGTTTGCTGCACCACACTCTATGTAATGGCAGGCTTGCTCTCCAGGTCAGCGGAGAGAGAACCTCCGTAGATGAAAGTGACACATCTTTGAGGTCCTGAAGCATCGATGCCCTGTCCCTTTCTTCCTAGAAGCTCAGCCGAAATCGTAGGGCTCTATATGTGAATGGCAGCATATGCCAAGATCTGGAATGGAGGGCTCAAAACTTAGAAGCCATGGCACACCTACCTCAGCGTCTTCCATCTCAGTTTCATCAAAATCAGGGATTACTTTAATCTGAGTTTTCAGGAAGCATTTTTGGAGCTCAGCAAAGAAGATACCGGTGTAGCCCTAAAAAGAGGCAAAACCACACTCCCTGAAAGGGCAGAACTTGGCAACCAAAGTGACCTTTTTCCCTTATGGTTCTAGTTAGAACAGTTTAAACCCAAAGTTGTGGCTTAAAAATTAAATAGTATTGCAAAAGCTCTTCGACTTCAGCTCAAACATTCTGACTTCTGACAGACAAACCAGAGTGGAGAAATATCTAACTTACGTTTTTAAAGTCATGGATTTCCAATGTCTCGTCGCTGCCATTTCCGCTTCGGAAAATCTCTGTTTTGGTTATAGGATCAATTTCCATCAAGATCTTTTTCTTCTCCCCATTGCTGAAGAATGTATGCTCTACATCATAGATCTGGGGGAATAAGGAGGAAAACCAGTTCTGAGATACTCAGAACGTTCTCTTATCTATTTACTTTTTTTTTTTTGTGGTACCATCTAAGGCGCAATTACCTTTTCTCCATGGATTCCTCCAGGGCCCAGGTGATGATGAGCTATCTGGGTAGCTCACGGCTTGCTAATTCTGTGGCTCTGAAAGCCAAGGGAGGGGCTTTGAGATCATAAAGCTGAATGGCAGGCTCTCTAGAAGCAGGGCCTCTGGAGCTTGCCACTGAGATATTGCGGGCTGAGTTCCAGCAGCTCCGTTTGTATTCCTTGACTAAATATTAAACCACCTTGAAAGAGAGCAATGAGGCTGTAAAATGTTGCCCCCTTGTGTTAAGTGCAGGGAATATTTATCGTTCTCTTGATCGGTGGACCCACAAAGTTCATTTAGTTAATCACCCTCTCCAGGTAGGCATCACCTAAAGCTTTCTGAAGGGGGCGCTGCAGTCTCTTAAGACTCTCCAGCAAAAGGAGATTTCACAGTGTCCCTTGGTAATTTACTTCAGCCTTTGGTGCCTGAAAGAATTTCCTTGGAGCTAAGTGAACTTCCCATCTGTCACAGACTAAGTTTGTTTCCTCTCACTTGGTTCCAGCAGGGGCAAAGGAGAGCAAATGGCACCCCCTTCCTACTGTACCATTTGAGTCCCTGAAAATCATTGATTACTCCTGTTCAGCCTTCTTTTCTTCCGGCCAAATAATCCTAATTCTTTTCTGGGCTTGATATTCCTTCTTTTGGTTCTCTTCCGGGGAGCCTTCCTCAAGTCCCTCACATTCATAGGATCACAGATCATGGAACTTGAGAGCTCATCCTATCCAACTCCCTCTTTTTAGGGTTTACAGTGGGAAAGGGTCTACTCTACTGTTTCACAGGGAATAAATGGCAGGTTCCCTGACTCCAGATCCCGTACTTCGTTCACTACACCGAGTCCATGCAGAACCAACTATTCTACTACCTGTCTACAAAGGTCTGCCTTATAGTTTCTGCATGGTTTACTCCTTTGAGTTTTGGAGTATTTTGATAGGGGGACACCTAAACTCCTCCAGTCCCCAGGACTGGAATGACCAATCCCAGAGAGTGAACTAGTTAAGGAATATTAATACAGCCTGACTGCACACCCTGAAGCCTATTTTAACCATGCTGCTGGGAGTCCTCTGGCTATCGGTTTCTTTTTTGAAAGAGACCTTGGTAAGCCATGAGCCTCAGGAGGGACAACATCTTCCTCGGTGACAGTCAGATCTGGCTTGCATTTTTGGTGTCTGCAGATGTCTGCATCATACTATTGGTTTAACCCGGTCAGTTTGTCCTCAGCTCAAGCAGAGAAACAAGTTGGAAGAGTTTGCAGTAACAAGGATTATTTGAAGCCTGAAAAGAGGCTGACGAAATTGAAAAACAAGAGACTTGGGCTGAAACAGCTTGCTTTCTCCTTCCCCCTCCCCTCCCTCTGATGGCTAGAGGGGGGCTTTCCTGTGCACATGGTAGGTGCCCCACAAACATTCATGGAATGACTCCTTTTGGGGAGGGGATGAGATTGGTCTTGCCAGAAGGAGATTTTTTTTTTCAAGCAAATGGGCAAGGTCAACCGGGAGGCAAAAAGGGAAGAGGAAAGGCACCTCCAAGATCTATGGCAGGCATGGAGTTAACTAAGGAAGCCTGAGCTGGTTGGTGACAGGTAGCAGATTCCATTAGGCTTGGTATTTGCTCCTAGCTATAAATATGTCCTTGGTTTCAACTCTGCAGCCAGCTTGAGAAAAGAGAAACCTCTACCCAGAGTAACAAATCGAGCTCTCTGTCAGCTGGACCTATGGGGGGGTTGGGGGGGAGGAGGTGGGAGAAGCATCCAGCTCAGATTCAGCCTTGTCAGGTCTCCCAACAGGGCGGAATTTGTGTTAGAAATACTCTCAGTCCCCGAGATAAACTTCGCTGTTACTGCCCGTAGCGGTGTTTCATCAGTACCGCCGTTGATGGATTGGTGCATGGAAAAATGAGGTTAGAGACCAGGGGATGGATGTTGGAGTGCTGCCTACCTGGGCCCCAGGAAAGTACAGGCTGCATTTTCAATCATCGGAGGAAGACTCTGAAATTGGACTGGAGACGTTTCGAATTTCGTTCTCCTGGAGAATGAGTTTTCCGGCATGTTTGGCAATGCACCCTGCTTGGACACCTTGCAGATAAATATTATTGGAAAGTGGCAACGGTGCTAAGCTCAGCAGATCGCAATGATTTTCAAGGTTTCTCGGGGAATATTCTTTGTTGGAGCTACCTTTGTGACTGTCTCCCTCCATCACTCTGTTGCCATGCTGGTAGTTGCTGACTCTGCAATTGGGTTGTTAACAATGCTATAGAAGGAACCTGGGGTTTTGGAGGATGATAGATTTCGAGCTGAAAGAGATCTTAGAGGCCATCGAGTTCATCCCTCTAACTTCCCAGATGGGGAAACTGAGGCTGAGAGGAAAAGTCCCATGAAGTGACTTTTTCAAGGACACACAGCTAGTGAATGTCTGAGGCAGGAGTTGAACCCAGGACTTCCTTACTCCAAGTCCAGTGCGGGCATCCACTGAACCACCTGATTGATTTAGAGGCTGAGGACTTGGGCTCAGATCCCAGCTCTGCTTCTTACTACCCATCTTTGTGACCTTGGCCAAGTCGCTACGCCTTTCTTGGCTGGGACTAGGTGACTTGTAAGGCCCTTTTGAACTTAGGTTCTCATGGTCCTAACTACAGAGGGCCCCGTTTGCACCAGAGCTAGCTTATGACAATCCTTGAAGTGAAGGGCCAGCACTCCATCAGCACAAGGAGCGCTTTTGAGGGTGACGGTCTGGGATGGTACCCCCGATCTGCAATCCTCTAGGGCTTCGAAATGTGTGAGGATGGGGTTGAGGGGCTCCACCTCTTGTCTGGTTTCCCATGGAGTACACCCACTCTTGGGAAATGCCTGGCCAGCTTTGGGGAGGCACAACAGTCTTAGGCTATCTGGCTCATATGCTTCTGGGGATCTGTGATCTTACCCCAAGTGGGGAACTCTCTCAAGTGGCACAGTTTGCAAGCCACCCATACCTTCTCATCCTATGAAACCCTCATCCGTGTACTCCCCGAAGTTCTCTACAGGGAGTATCTCCAGTGTGTGGGGACCTTCTGCTAGGTCTCTGCATGTTATGTGTGCAGCACTTGGGCTGTCCATCCATTATCCTTGGCAATCAGGACGTGATCAGACATCCTTTTCCCAGCATGCACCTCTTTGATGTGTCTTACATCACTTTGTGCCTATCACTCATAATTGGTAATACCGCTCAATCCGTGTATGCTCACTATATATCTCCCCATTGCATTTTGGGCGACCAGGAATTTTAATTCATGGTGTATATCCATGCATTATCACTGGAAGAATATAGGTGTTAAAAAGATGAGCCTTTGTTTCCGGTAGAAGCTTGGGGTCATCGTAAGCTCTGTGCAGTTTCTCCAAGGCCAGCCAGCCTACTCTCCTCTCCTGCTCCTTTCTGAGCCCAGCTTATCATTCATTTGCACTGTCTATCCAAGATGGATGTACTGACAGCCTGGTTTCTACATTCTCCCGCCTACTGCATTTCATAGTCTGAAGAATAAGTATTCTTTGCCCACTTGGCTTTTCCTGTGTGGATAGTTGAACTAAACTTTTCTGAGTGCTTATGGATCTCATTTAGTAGCCTCTGCAAAGGTCACCTGCAAATGGGTGCATCTGGAAGATCTCCAGGCCGGCTTGTCTAAGGACCAAGCTCATAACCTTGGCCTCATTGGCATCAAGCTCTAGTCTGCTATGCTAACTGGTCCAGATAGGGGCTTTCTGAAGAGTAAGGGACCAGATTAGCTTTGTCCTGCCCAATATCAAACTAAGGAAAAATCAAGCTATCTACACTGATGTAAATAAGAGTAGGCATTCAACTTTGGCCCCAGATCCAGGACTACCTAGTGGCAAAATTGTGAAGGGGGGGATTTATCTTTGATGTCCCCCACCCCTGCCCCATTTGCTTTCTGGCTCCCTTCCTACGCTGCTTGAGCTAATCAGGGGACAACAAACCCAATTAAGAGCAGCAGGACCTGCATTCCAAGTGCAATGAGATAATCCAGCAGTTAGGTCACAGGAATTGCAAAGTGTAAGAAGACCACATTTGGAAAAAAAAAAAAACAAAACAACAACCCATCGTGGCGACAATACAGACACATTCCTTTTTCTCCTGCCCAGAAATTCCTTCCCCAATCTATTTTAATCCTTCTACTCAGGCGGTAAATGAGCCTCATCATCCATTTTTCATGGGTTTTCATTTTTTTCTGTCTCCTTTGTTTGCGATAGTCTCTGAGATTTGAAAATAAAGCTTCTCTGAAGGGTACCATTGCTGTAGACCTTGGTGTGATAAATCTCTTTCAGGGTGAGTAGGTTTAGTCTGTTCAGAAAGAGTCGAGCACATTTGGTCTGAGGGTGTTTGGGCTTTTTTTGTTGTTGAAATCTGTGATTAATCTAGTTGCTCATTTCTTCAGCCCTCATTCTTCAGTATCTCCTTATGGGGTACATTTCCTGAAGCTGAAATCTGTGCTCAGAATAGCAGCTGGCAGGTATTCATATGTGGGGGGTAGGGGCATTTGAGTGGGTGCAGTCAGGCTGTTTCATACCTGAGGGACCCGATGGCTATGAAAAGGCCTCCCGGTACTGAGTTACCTGTGGAAGTAAACTTTTTTTTCCTAGAGGAGCCTGGCCTCCTGGATCTTCGATTACCCCTTTCAAAATATGGAAAAAATCTGGCCTAAGGAGTGCAGACATTCCTCCTTTTCAACAAGGTTGGTCTCAAGAGCTGCTCTTTGCATGTGCAGATCCAGAGCTTGAGAAGTTTTGCCCCTTTTCCCTTCCTTTCTTTGTCCTTTGGGTCAGCTAGTTCTTGGCTAGTTCTTTGCTTTTATCGTCAGACCATTGGTTGGCTGAGCAGTGGATAGTGCCCCCTCTT